ACACAGGGTCTCTGTGAGGCAGAACCGACTTGATGGCACCTAACAACAACAACATGTATATATTTTGTATTTTTATGCAAGTAACATGCATCTTCTACGTTTGTTTGCCAACTGTGCTCTCCCGCCAAGAGGTATTTTCATAAGCGCTGCTAGGCCAATTGTTTTACACATTGTTGTAAAAAAAAAATTAGCATAACACACAAAAATACTTCGTGGGGGGAGAGCATGGTTGGAAAATAAATGTATAAGGCACACGTTATTTTCGTAAAAATACAGTATTACCACAATAATATATACTATTGTATATATATAATTATATATATGTATATTATATAATTATATATATATATATATATGTAAATAAAACAATACATATAAAGACACAGCTGGGCTTATTTTTTCTATGCTACTAACATGGCACCTTCAGCATACTGTCCTTCCCAGCTAGGCAAAGTGCCACTGGGATAGTATTAATCAGGATTTAAGAACTTTAGGGACAGATATTTTCATAAGCGCTGCTAGGCCAATTTACCTCAACATAGTAAAATCTTCCCAGAAACAGCTTGTCTCTGCAGCCATCTCCCACGCCCTCCAACACACAAACACTCCCATCATCAAAATGTAAAGTGACTGAGTTCAGGTTTCAAGGCACAGAGGTATATGAAACAGACAGAGTTGGATTCCCGTGAGTGTGGAAATAAAATTAGTCCCACGTTTGGTCCTCCAACACTGGTATTTATGGAAGACTCTTCCTATCTACATTTATTAAAATGAGGTTTAATTGCTAACTTAAACTGAAAGTAGGAAAAAACAGTTCTAGTCCTCAGGGACTAGAACCTGAGAACAAAGAGACATTTTCTAAGAAAAGTAAGGACGAGATACAAATCAATTCACAGTGTTAGCGCTGCAAAAAGAAAGGACTAGCGGCTTGAAGGGAGATGTGTTGTTGTTAGCTGCCATCAACTGTACCCCGATTTACGGCAACCCCATGCACAGAGGAACAAAACACTGCCCGGTCCTGTGCCATCCCCATGATCGGTTGTGGATCTGACTATTGTGATTCATAGGGTTTTCACTTGCTGATTTTTGGAAGTAGATCACCAGACCTTTCTTCCTAGTCCATTACAGTCTGAGAGCTCTGCTGAAACCTGTTCAGCATCATAGCAATGCACAAACCTCCACTGACAGACAGGTGAGGGACACTGGTGGAGAATCGAACCCAGGTTTCCTGCCTGGAAAGTGAGAATTCCACCACTTAACCACCAGTGCCCACGAACAGAGATACGGTCAAGTCAGAAAACAGAGCTAAGATGAAGATACTAAGACTCTGGGACTGTCTTCCTGAGATACAAGGGTTGAAGGAGCCAGGTCAGAAGGTCCAGTTCCATTCTGCCAAGTTCTAGGACTATCCTGAGAGGAACTAAAAACGTACTACAACCCTGTGTTTTAGGGGATAGAACTGGAAAAACTTGTGGCATGTGGAAATTACCACCTTAGTGAAATTAGGCTAATAATGAAGTGGTGGAGCTAAGGTTGGTATGGTTGACTTTTTAGGGAGAGGGAGAAGCTCATGCAGAGACCGTATGTGATTGCACGCACACGTACAAGCATGCACGTTTGAGGACGTGTGTGCACGCGTGTTCTCCTGGTGGGATCTTACGGTGCTTGGGTGATGGAGAGCAGCGAAAGATGAAGTAAAAGAGCAAGCAGAGGCCAGTTCATGAAGAGCCTCCTAAGACACATTCTACAGTTTGATGAACAAGAAACAGCCCCTCTACTTTCACCTACACAAGTCCTACTCATGTTTTAAGGCCCCGCTCTCACTGTGTCTCCCTTCACTAATCTCCCTCGGCAGGTATTGTAAATACTATGTGTGTTTGCCTTTAGAATGTCCTGGGTTCTCTCTCAACTAGGTTTAAGTGCCTTGAGAACAAGAACAAAGTATTTATGTTATATCTACATTGTCTAATAATTCTTGGCATATTTATCCTTTTCAGAAACACCTATTAGCCACGCCAAGGCACTGTTCCAGGCAGCAAATAAAATAAACATGCTACCTGCTCTGCCAGAGCAAATGAGAGCAGCCCAGGGTACAATATGTAATTCCAGGTTCCTTTGGAAAAAGCAAGTCAAGTGACAAAATCTTTGTTACGTCATAGATACCTTTCTTTAAAGATATCTTTTCAGAGTGAAGATCTTTAATGGAGTGATACCTTTACAGAGATACCACTCCATCATATGTCAGTTCTGAAGTCGAATGCCTTTTTTTTTTTTTTTTTTTTTAGTTTTCATTCTTATTGCCTTATATTATCAGTATCTTTATAAATCTGATCTTTCTTTGTCTTTGGGGGTTGGACACATTTTTTCTGAGAATGATAACATCAGTAAATTACACGTTGCAACACTGTATGTAGTACATAATACTAACGATAAGATTTACAAAAAAAAAGGAATGATGGTTAAGTGCCCTTTGTCGCAACTCAAATACATCATAAGTTGGGGACTATATTATACAGAAAGACATCTTCTTATGTATGACTACTTCTATAATATTATATTTTTATTTAATTTTGTGGGGAAATGTTCCAGAATATCATAGATCTTTCAAGATCATATAATATTTCTATGAAATACTATGCAGGATATCCATGTTCCATGTTCCTTCATTTATGAAAATTATGGTATTGACTGAGTCTCCACACAAGAAAAATCAATTCAAAAGAATTTGCATCATAGTTAGAAACACAATATCTACTCACATTTCTGTCTGATGTTAATTCACTTGCTCTAAATTATGTAATGGATGGAATAAAAGTTGGAAGAATAGTTTATTCTGTGAGATTTTAAAGAGCTGCATTAAAATCTCCACTGCAAAAGGTCAATTTAGACTAAATCAGTTCAGAATGCTTACATCAGAATTTCTCAAAGGATGGTCCCAGGGCAGCAGCACCTGGAAACTTTGTAGAAATGTAGATTCTTGTCCCACCCTTAGAAGCCCTGGTGGCACAGTGGTTAAAGCGCTTGGTTGCTAACCAAAAGGTCAGGGGGTTGAATGCACCAGGCGCTCAGTGGGAGAAAGATGCGGCAGTCTGCTTCCGTAGAGATTTACAGCCTTAGAAGCTCTATGGGGCAGTTCTACTCTGTCCTACAGGGTCACTATGAGTCAGATTTGACTCAACGTTAATGGGTTCCATTTTTTTGGGTTCCATCCTTGTCCTATTGAATCAGAAACACTGGGGCTGGGGCCCAGCAATCTGTATTTAACAAGTCCTCTAAGTGATTCTGATGAATACTAAAGTTTAAGAACTACTGGCTACATCTTGCCTGTTCTAGGAACAATCTGAGGAAACAGTTTTTAAAAGAACTATCCCTTATTTTACTGAACATTAGAGCAGGAAGGGGTCCTAGAAAGCATACAGATCAACCTTCTTGTGGTTCTTACAGATATGGAAACTGATGCCCAGAGATTACCAGTGGTAACTGGAATTTGGAGCAAAACGTGCTCCAACATCAAAGATGTGAAGCTTAGACCCTAGACAGAAGGCGTGGGCACCAGCTATCATTCTGTATATCTGACATCAAGTTTTACTTTTAATTTAAAGGGTTCATATGTAGAAAACCCTTTCTCTTTCTTAACAGACCCAGATGTAGTTGCAGAACCCAATCATATCTAAAGGCAAAGTCAAAATTATTTGAAGATGTTTGTGAGAGAGAAAAAGCCTTATTGTTGTGAGTAAATCAAGAATCTAGTGGCCAGAAATATCAGGCTCAGCTCAGATTCAAACCTGGCTAGCTTTCATAGCTCCTTAACCAGCCTGAAACAAGGAATAATTCTGTCTAGTTCAAAAAGCTCTTTAAATGGGTAGTCCAGCTTTTCCACGTAATACGGTCAGCCTAGGACAATGGCTGAAAACACAAGCCTTAAGCCACTTAGTAGTTGTGTGATCTTGGGCAAGTTAACTTATCTGTCTGTGCCTCAGTTTCTTCACCTACCTCAGAGAACTGTTGAGAGAACTAAATCAGATATTGCATGTAAAGTTCTTGACACAGTGTAAATTTTCTATAAATACTGGCTGCTGCTCTCACTATTATTATTAGAAGCAGTAGCAAACCTATAGTATGAACACTGTTCAAGTAGTACCCTTCCCTTATGAAAAGGGCACCTTTACTGAATGTCCAAAATATATTTCCGTTAACACTGGTGTGTCTGTACTGATCTAGCCACACTGTCTCATCTTGATGCCCAACGAGCAATAAGGAAGGGCACTGGGGGCTCAGTGGTAGAATTCTCACCTTCCACGTGAAAGACCTTGGCTCAATTCCTAGCCAATGCACCTCACGTGCAGTCACCACCCCCACCACCGCCACCAGTGGTAGGGTGGCTTGTATGTTGCTATGATGCTGAGCTGACTAAGAGAGAGGAGCTTCCAGACTAAGTCAGACTCAGAAGAAAGGCCTGGAGATCTACTTCCAAAAATCAGTCAGTGAAGATCCTATGGATCACAATGGTTCGATCTGCAACAGATCATGGGGATGGCACAGGACCAGGCAGCATTTCCTTCCATTGTGCACGGGTTCTTCATAAGTCAGGAGCTGAGTTAATGGCAGCTAACAACAGCAGCAAGAATAAAGCGTAACTAGTGATACAGCGTAAGAGTAGCCAAGTGCCCTACCCAGCAGTTCAGCCTTTAATGTGAGCCTCATGAACAACAAGAGTTGTACCCTAACAACTGAGCACCCAGATACCAACTGACTGAAGCCCTAAATTAGATAGTACTAATTGTCCTGATTTTATTGACAGACAAACTTTCCTGAATATATCCTTATCCAAGGCAAATCTTCAGAATATCTTGTAAGAGCCTAATAAATATTTTGTGGACAGAAGTGTCCAGAGTTTATAGCTTTTCAGCTTCATAAACCTAAGGCTTTGAGGCTAACTCTTAAGGTGGAAAATACCCTGTGATGTCTTGAAAACTGATCGCAGGTCTAAAATTCCTTACCCTGCTGTGAAACTTGGCAGTTCGATAAGACTTGGGCGACAGATTGTACACTGTGTAGTGGTCAAGATGTCTGGAATCCAAAAAGCTTCGGATGTCATCAACCTGATTCCTGAATCCTATGTCAACACTGTCCAGAGGAAAGGACATCACTAGGAGGGGTCATACAGAAAGAAAAGAGGTTAAACAGGTCCACTGTCACTATGGGCATCAATTTAAAGCTGAGCTATTGAGTAATTACTAAATATGAGAGACTTACCAATAATTCTTGAAGTAACGTAAGTGAAGTCTAAATCTCCCTTCGTGTAGCTAAAAGCAAGAAAGGAAAGGACACTCATTAACATGATTCAAATATCCCAAAATATTTCTGCCTTAGCCACCTGTACATCATGACTTGTGATACTTCTGTCCCACCCAAAAAAAAAAAAAAAAAACCCAAACCCACTGCGGTTGAGTTTATTCTGACTCATAGAGACCCTACAGGACAGAGTAGAACCACCCCATAGGGTTTCCAAGGAGTGGCTGGTGGATTTGGCCATGGCTCTTAACCACTGTGCCATATTTTGACTCCCCTGAAGCCTCTCTCTCAAGGGTTGTTGAGAAAAGACAGCCCTCGTCCTCAGGAAGGTAACTCTACCACACCCACAGGCACATTCCAGTGCCCTCTTTAGATGTGACTTCATAAACAGAATCAATCTCAGAATAGAAAACGTGGCTTATTGATTAACACATTGTTCCACCCTCTCTGCCTTCATGGAAATCTCCGAGAAGTGTGAGCAGCTAAGGAGTAGGGGAGGAAGTGAATGAGAAAGAACAAAGGATACCTTTTTTCTGCCCACCAGGCCCTAATTGGGAATTAAAGGTAAGGGATAATTTCTACCTTTCAATAAAGACTAAAATATGGATTAATATATTGGATTTGATATTTGAATTTCTGATTTAAGATTGCTTAACTGTAACTTAAAATGACATAAAACTTTCTAATACCTATAAATAAAAAAGAATTCATGTGGCCTGTTTGCCAGAATTTTTACTTAGTAGAAGGGTAGTGAATGTCTCCCCCTAAATAAATGTTAAAAGGATAGTAGGATACAAAACCAAAGTTATGTTGTGACTACAGTTCATGAGTATTGCTTCTTCTGAGTGCTTGTGTATTATCTCATTTAATCCTCACAACCACCCAAAGACAAATCCTATCAAAGGTTAAGAGTAAAGTTCAGAGAGGTTAATTAACTTGCCATTGGTCACATGGCTAACAAAGGCAGATATCACACTGTTGTTGTTGTGTGCCATCAAGTTGATTCTAATTCATAGGTATCACATTAGAACCCAGGATATTTGATGCTAAAGCCTGTGATGGCAACCTCTGTACTCCAACGAGTTCTCCCAGCTGCATTTGTAACTTCTAAAGGGTTCAACTTTATGGCTACATGACATTCTGCAGCCGACCAGATGTATGGTCGCAGCTCCTGTGTAATTACATCACAAATGTCACAACCTTCGAGCCAGACAAGCAGTTGAAGGTAACCAAATCTTTTGGGAGCACGGAGCTCTGTTTGTTTAACTGTGAAGAATGTACACACCTGGTAACAGATTGTATAACTCTAGAAGATGTGTCTTTGAGGGTGTCTTTCAAGTTGTCCTTTAGATTACTGAAGAGCCTCCCTGCACCTCCTTTCACCATGTCAAAGAGACCACCCCCATAGCTGGGCTCCATGTCTGGAGCTGAGGCACCTGTCAATGAAAAACAGAAAAGGAGGTCAGATGGCACAGACTACAATCACCACCAATCCTTCTTCCTTTCTAAAACATGCACAGACCACCTTTGGAAGTCTGGGACAGATATTCCTGGAAGTAACGTCTTGCTCTTAGAACATATCAACTCTGGGTTACAGCGTGCACAGTCCTCAGAGTCCCAGGAACCTCCTGAGGGGCACCATCCAATAATGCAACCACTAACCACTATTGGCAACTGAGCACTTGAAATGTGGCTAGTCTGAAGTGAGATATGCTGGGAGTATAAAATACACACCAGATTTCAAAGACACAGTGCAAAAAAACTGAATGTGAAGTATCTCAATAATTTTGTTCATTGATTACATGTTGAAATGAAAATGTTTTAGATATACTGAGTTTAATAATGTATATCATTAAAACTAATTTCATCTGTTTCCTTTTATTTATTTTTTAATGCGGCTACTAGAAAATTTTAAATTACATATGTGGCCTGCAATATACTTCTTTTGCACAGTGCTGATCCAGAAAGACTGATCAGGAAGAGCAGCGATCAGGGGGCTCCTCTCCCCTCAGTGGGGAACTGACTGTATTAGAAGACCCTCAGTTGAAATGGATTTGACAGAGATGGGTTTGGTCAAAACAATAGTCATCTTCCATTATGGACATCTTCTGAAGGACCTTCATAGAGCTTTTAGGTATGAGGATATATGATAGTCATTAGTATTATTTGCCAAATAATTCAGGTTCTTTCAACCAAAAAAAACAAAAAACAAAACTCTAAACCCATCATATATTGAAATGCATACTGTTTTACTACAAATACGTATATTACAAATATGTCTTTCACTTCTCCTTTATATTACAGTTGGAACATTTTATATATATATATAGATAGATAGATAGATATTTTAGATATACCTATACATATTTACTTAATTATATGTTACCCATTGCCTAAAAACTCCACTGTTGTCGAGGCAATTCCAGGTTATAGCAACTGTATGGGACACAGCAGAACTGCCCCACAAGGTTTCCAAGGCTGAAATCTTTACAGAAGTAGACTGCCACATCTTTCTCCCACAGAATGGCCAGTGGGTTTGAACCACTGACCTCCTGGTTAGCAGCTGAACACTTAACCACTGAGTGACCAGGGCTCCAGTCTCCCTCCTTAAGAGCATCATGAAGACGTACTTTCTGGCCCCTTGTGTTTAGGCGAAGTCATGTGAATAACTCTAGCTCAGGGTTTCTCAGCCTTGGCCCTACTGACATGTTGGGCCAGAAACTTCTTTGTTGGGGGCTTAGGGTGGGAGTAGGTGCTGTCCTGTGCACTGTAGGGTGTTTAGCAACATCTCTGGCCTGTACCCACCAGATGCCAGTAGCACACCCCACACCCTCCACTCAGGTTGTGACAACAAAAAATGTCTCCAGACACTGCCACTGTCCCCTGGGGAAAAAAATCACCCAGTTGAGAACCACAGCTCTAACCTATGATGTATGAGTGGGAGTGTTGGGTGTCACTTCCAGGATAGAGTACTTAATTGTGAGTGCAAGACTCTCCTAGCTTTCACTCCTTCTTTTCCTTTGCCTTGGAAACCGGCAAGGACTGAGATGGAGGCTACCCTGTCTGGGGCTCCTGGGTCCTGGAGTGAGGAGATGTGGTACAGAGTTCCCATCTGACCTGTGATGAATATGTAGCATGAGTAAGAATTAATTTTTGCTATTAGAAGCCACCAATATTTTGGGAATGCTAGTTACTATAGCACAACCTGGTTTAGGAAGACTAATACAGAAAGGAAGAAAGAATCTGTGTAAAGGAGGCTAATATTAAGGATGGCCTAGTAGTCAAGAGCATTAGAACTGCTCTCACTCGGGTTCTGGCCCGGCTTTCTTACTCCCTAGCTATGTAACCTTGGCAGGTCACAGTCTTCTAAGCCTCTGTCTTCCTGTCAATAAAATGGGCATAATGCCTACCTCATAGGGAAAGATTAGATGAGTTTTTGTAAAGCTCTTAGCATAGTACCTAATATATTTGGGGATCAATAGATGATAGCTATACTATTATGTGCCACATCCAGAAATTCCTACATTGATGATATTATTCTATCTTTATTAACTTTTCAACTACATAATGACAAAGGGCAAGAATGACATTTATAATATTTAAGATTTTAGAAATTAATAAAATACTCATGTAGTAAGAACTGTAATTGCTAACTCTTATATAGTACTTACTACATGCTAGGTACAATCATGAGGATTTTACCAATATTAATTCATTTAATCCTCATAGCAATCCTGTGAGGTAGATAATATTATTATTCCCATTTTACATATTATGAAACTGAGGCACAGAGACTAAGAAACTTGTCTAACAGCACAGAGCTAGTAAGTAAATGGTAGAGCTGGGCTTTGAACTCTTAGGCAAACCTCCCCAATCATATTCCCCTCCTCCTTCCAACCCCATCCTGAATTTGGTATTTATAATTTTGATTATCTTTAAACTTTTATTTTATATATATAGTTCTCCCTAAGCAATATATTAATATTGTTTCCCATGCTTTCTAAATATATATAAACGATTTTCTGTTTGCGTTCTTCTGCAGCTTTATGTTTTCAATGACCACTGTTTATGCGGGTACCACATGTAGCTCTAACTCAATGCATTTTTACCCCCTTGATGAACACTTAGGTTGTTTGCTATAACAAACAATGCTGCTATGAACACATGTCCTGATTACATATGGGAGACTCTCTCTAGGTTATACCTAGCAGTGGAATTTGCTAGTAGGTAGAGTATGCACATCTTCAAATTTCTAGATATTGACCCATCTTTTCCAGAGTAGTTCTATCTGTTTAAACTCCTACCAGTGGTACATCACTCTACATTCTCCTGAACATTTGGTACTGTCAGACTTAAAAAATTTTACCAGTCTGATGCGTATGAAATGATACCTCATTTTGGTCTTCTTTTGTGATTACTTCAATTATAAATGAGATAAAGTACTTCTTTTATTATTTTATTGGCCATAGATCATATTTCAGTAACACTCCTATGTGCCATTTTGATGCTCATACATACATCTATAAATACCTGTCGACTATCATGTGCCATTTAGATGCTCATACATACATCTATAAATACCTGTTGACTGTCATGGACTCACATCCTGGTCATAAGAGCTACTGCTACCTAAGTCACTATTAAGCATCTATTTGAACATAAGATTTAATTAGAAATTGCGAAGAACAATCAAGGCTGGTAAATAAACAAACAAGATACATGGATAAATATTATTAATGTCTACTAGTTACTGAGCTATCCAATACACCAGGAACTCTGCTTGGACCTTTATCGTAGTATAATTGCATATAGTGGGAGAGCGGGAGAATGTTTTTATCCCCAATTTTACAAATGAAGAAATGCAGGCTAAAAGAAGGGAAGCAACTCACATAATATCTTATAGCTAAAACAGGAGAGCCAGGGATTCAGACCCAGATCTATGCAATTCCAAAGCCTATGCAACTTCCACCACTTCACACTATTTTCACAGCTCCATATTAACTTACAATTCTGACAGCTGTAATCAGGATGGTCCTTACCTACCTTATACACAACTTCCTCTCTTCCTATTCCTTGTTCTCCTCCACCTCCCACCTATATGCCTTTCATATGGCTGCTCTCAGCAGCAGATGTCCCTGCAACAAGCACTCTCAGAAATCACTGCATCTGCCAGACGAGCCAAACCAATCTCATCATGTAGGCAGCCTGAGCCTCTGTCACCTCACTGAGTAAAATGCCAGGAACTGGTCTGATGGGCAGCTGTGCGACTAGAGCTAGAGCCACAAATCTGAGACTGCTCTCTTGTGCTTTGTTTCCATATGATGTAGTGAACATTACATCAAAGTGAAAATAAAATAAAAACTAAGAATCAGGCACATTTCCCCACGTGAACATCGGTATTATGTCTTCATTTTAAATACACAGAGGATAGAGTGGTACAAAACATTTACAACTCCCCCATCTCCATCCCTAGTTACTACTCCAGCCAGAACACCCCTCTGATACATCAATGTTCTAAGAGGTGCCACCAAATTGATTATCGAGACCTCTTTCCAACTCTCAATCTCATGCTAGAACAGAACTCCAAGGCATCAACCTATTAAAAGATATAAATATCCTTATCTAAGAAATCAGATCCTCACTATCACTCAAGCTGCACGCTCTATTTATTAGAGCCTTGGAACGCTGAGGAAACCAGAACAGTTTGCCAGAGTCCATCTGTAATGTTCATACATCCAAGTTGTATGTATGAAGGTTATAATACATATCAGGACACAAAATCAGGGCACAAAAAAGAGAAGAGGGACATTATTTGATTTTGCCCTAATGATTCTTTCAGGTAAGTATTCTGGCTCTTCTTGACGAACTATGTGAGGGCCAGAAGCAAAGGTTCTACAAAAGATATTTGAATCTCAGCTAGTGGAGAGAAAAGACAGAAAGGTTTCCAAAAGAGAAAAAGAAAAAAGAAAAAATTACACAACTAAGAGGGAAATGCTGCAGTCAGAAAGGGACATGCAGAAGAAAAACAATGACTACACCAGATCAGAGGACTAAAAACTATCACTGCGGGTACAGTCTATGAAATAAGATTAGTTTTTAATCTTTTTAATTGTTGAAAAAATCAAAAGAATAGTATCTCCCAACACATGAAAATTATATGAAAGTCAAATTTCAAAGTCCACAGATAAAGTATTATTAAAACACAGTCACATATTGTCTCTGGCTGCTTCTGTGCTACAATGGCAGAGTTGAGCAGTTGTGACAGAGACCTTTTGATCCACAAAGCCTAAAGTATTTACCATCTGGCCCTTCACAAAAAGTTTTCCAACCCCTGCTCTAGACGGTTGAAAACACTCGCTTTCTTAGAAATCTACAGCTTGCCGCCTCTGACCTCTCCCTAAATGCTTTGCCAAAATGGCACCCAGTGAGAAGGACA